TTTTATCTTTCCCAATCTTCGAAAATTTCCGTTATTTTGCAATAGTTTTACATTAAACAGGATCACAACTGACCCGTGGAGTAGTACTGGAGAAACCACGTTAAAAAAAATGCGCTAAGTACACTATCTCATAGGTGGCGTGGAAACGTGTGCATATTGTGATGAAAACAACTTTTATATTTTTTTGAATCGTCATATCTCAGAAACGATGGCTCGTAAGAAAAAAAGTACTGATACATTTTTATGGATAATTTTATGATCTACAATTTTTGTCTGAGGTACTTTTATGATAAAACTTACCGTTTTGCTGAAAATCGCGAAAAACTCATTTTTTTGACCTTTGACCTTGAATAAAATTTTTTCCTTACAGGGGAATGATGGGGAACTTCTAGACATTGTTTATTATTATGTTTTGAACAACTTCACAGAAATTCAGCTTGTTGGGACTTTATGTAACTTCCAATGTCTAAATTGACCGGACTAATAGTGCGAGCTGTGTTGTTACGACAGAGTGCAATATTAGTTCATCTTCATCAACAGCCTACAAGTGGCCATTGCTGACCAAAGGCCTCTTCTCACACGGAAATGGATTTTTTTAAACGTTGCCTCACTAGGATTTTCTCTTGTATCGTGAATGCGTTTACAAACATACAAGTTCACATACACATGACACCCAGACCCAAAACAACAATTTGTGGATCACACAAAGAGTTGCTCCGTGCGGGAATCGAACGGCAGCCAGTTGCCCAACTACCGCACCAACCGTGCACTCAAAACCACCCCGTTCCTATTCCTGCCTTTCTAGCCGGAGCCCCGGTAACCCGTTAAGTCCTCCACGGCTCCGTATTGGCATCAGCCCTATTGGGCCCCATACGTGGTGGTCTGATGGCTCTTTGAATGACTGCTCCCGCCTGGATGAGGCGGGAGGGAGTGTCAGACTGTTACTGACTAAAAACCACCCCGTTCCTTCTCCTGCACGTCGAGCCGGAGCTCCGGTTACCAGTTAGGTTCTCCGCAACATATAATATTACCTTGACAGCAACTTATCTAAAATTTAGTTTCAATATCGTGTTTGGATGTAATAATTGAACTCAAGCGCATAATATAATACATCCGATAATATGATTCACATAGGTATTCTGTGCTAGTATAGAATTAGGCTACAAGTTTTTATGATGTAATGAATAATGTCAGTCACGCGAACGGTTTTTGTAAGGTCAATGTACGTGTTGAATGTAAATATTTTGCGAGTAATGTAAAAAAATATGAATTATGTTGGTTCGACGATCCACTGGTGATGACCTCATAAAACCCTCTTCATTATCACATCAGTCACAAGGGGACTACTGATCAACATAAGTCCCCCCAATGACTTCCAGATTGCCCAGCTGGAAGCATAAGAAATACCTGTTTAGTACCTATTGACCAGGGTATGTTCCTTTGTTAGCGTCCACGTTACGGAACGCACTTTAAAATTCTCCCGAAAGTAATAAGTTTTTAAGTACCTCTACATACATTACATTTATGAAAATCCGTGAAATGAACGCGAATAGGCAAATTTTAGTAGGATGGACACGAATAGTCGAACTTACCCTATATACCTAGTTGCGGAGAACCTAACGGGTTACCGGGACTACGGCTCGAAGTGCAGAAAAAACAAAAATACCCTATATGGGTATATGGGTATATAGGGTTTTTTTGTTTTTTAAGGGGGTTATGTATCATACTAATATCAAAAACTTATTATAAATGTGAAAGTGGTGATATATGTATAATAATATTATAAATGTTTGCATGTTTGTCCGTCAATCACGCTGAAACTACTGAACGGATTTTGATAAAATTTGATATACAGGTAGGTAGGTTGATATACAGGAGGTGACTTAGGTAATAGGATAAAATGCTCCAGATTATTATCTCGATTAAATGATCATCAATACATAGTATAAAACAAAGTCGCTTTCGCTGTATGTCCGTATGTATGCTTAGATCTTTAAAACTACGCAACGGATTTTGATGCGGTTTTTTTTAATAGATAGAGTGATTCTTAAGGAAGGTTTGTATGTATAATACATGCATATTGCACCCGTGCGAAGCCGGGGCGGGTCGCTAGTAAATAATAAAATAGGAATACGCGAGCAAAGCCGCGGGTAAAAGTTCGTTTTAAATAACCAGCAAAACACTATTCAATTGGACAACTAATTGAGGAAAATCACTCTTGCACTATATTTTTGTGTTTGCTGAAGTGTAAAGCTGGTCCAATGGGGATACTGGTGTCAAAAATTAATGAATGTCAACTGAAAATAGAATTTAACAATTTTTAATAAAAAACAAATACGGTACCCACTGACACATTGATAAATAAGATAAATAGATGTAGATTTTTTTTCTTCTCTATCTTTTGATTCACTTCGTTGCGGGAACCAAGACAGTTACTCATGTCCCTGGGACGCGCCGGACTTCAGTGTTCCGGTGTTGTCATGGTTGTATCTACTGTAGATCCTGGCTTACAGGAGTTGCAGCGGTTTTGGGAGGTTGTGGCGGGCTTGTCCCATTTAAAAAAGATAGATGTAGATAGATAGATAGATAAATTCATTTATTTGCCTGCAATATGGTGTTTTACAGATGTTATAGCATAACAATATAGTTTATCATATCGTGCCTATCAATATACAAGTATTTTAACAAGACTAAACCACAATTTCCAACAACGATTCTAAGTTAGAATAAAACTTTGCTTTAGATTCCAAATTGTTATTCAGTGAACCTTTCGATTCTCAGGTCATTGACTCCTGAACAAAAAATATGGATGTACTCTCTAGACTCACGAAACCTAACGGGTTACCGGGGCTCCGGCTCGACGTGCAGGAGAAGGAACGGGGTGGTTTTTAGTCAGTAAGGGTCTGACACTCCCTCCCGCCTCACCCAGGCGGGAGCAGTCATTCGATGATTTTCCCCCCTTATAAAAAAAAGGCCTCTGGTTCATATCTGTTATCTAATTAGTCATTGTTGTCTGAAGTCTCAAAAAACTATTAAAAATACACTAACTATATAAACAAATATTGCGTGATAATACTATATGACCGCATATCGACCTGACCCTTAGATAAAGTTCAAACTACAAACATTATCTCTAGCCTTTGTTAACACAGTTCTATTTGCGCGGCAAATAGATTAATGAGATCAAATGGTAGAAAATAAGAGTTATTTTCTGTTATAGAGGGCGTTTTAGTGAAAGTAGATTTGGGAGCAAAGAAAGGCAGCCACATTACTTCATTTTATCGAACCCTCTATTACTTTTGTTATGTTGGTGGATTGTCAAATTATAGTTGGATTTATTACAATGATGTGCAGGGCGCACGACGTGTACACACACCAGAGTATGACGGGTAGACAGCCACGTTAATGACGAGTGTCCTACCTTATATAACACATTATAGTGAGGGGGCTACTACTTACTAATTAGTGATGTTAATACAGACTAAACATACATGTAACAACTTTAAAAAATAAATCCTTTTACTACAAAACGCTCTCATTCTAAAGGTAAACTAAATGGTAAGCAATCGGCGCCGCCCATGGACACCTGAAACACCAGAGGCCTTACAAATGCGTTACCGGCCTTTAGGAATTGGGAATTTGAGGATTGTCGGGGATTGGGGAGACTGGGGATGGCGGTAATTGGGCCTCTGGTAACCTCACTCACACGACGAAACACAACGCAAGCCTCAGTTAGTCAGGAAAAGTAATAATGATATATTTTACTTATTGTTTTCCAAAGATGTATACTCATATTCTATGTAGATCCTAGCTTGCCAGAGTTACAGAAGTTGTAAATAATTATGTAGTAGTCTATAGTCGCTCTTTTCATTCAACACGAAACATATTTACTAATAAGAAATATCTTTGTTTCTGCAGGTTCGACAGCAATGCGGGCAAGTCCAGAATTGACTATTATGGAGGTATGGTCAAGACGTACCAGCTATCGGCGGGGGTGTTCAAACCATACGGTACATCTATCAAGGTGGGTGCAAAATAGTGTAGAAAAAAATGTAGAAAATATTGTAGAAAGGAATCATCTATTTATTTAATGAGGTCAAGCAAGTACTGACGACTGAGAACTATAACTTTTTGCTTAAGGTATTTTGCTATTGTATGTAGCTTTAGATCGTGCTTGTCAGTCGCTGTAACTGTTATCACACTAGTATCATAAATGTGAAAATTTCTTTGAAAACTACCGAACATATTTTAATATAATTTGCTATACAGGCAGAATATGGACTGACTTAAGTGATAGAATCTTTTTTTCGGATTAATTACAAAAGTTTTGTGCAAGATTCTCCTGGATAGGCTGTCAAAGGCCGTGGATCCTCTTTTACGAAGGGAGCAGGCAGGTTTCCGATCAAACTGTTCATGTACAGACCAGATCAACACTCTTCGTATCAATCTAGAGCAGAGGCAAAGGGAGATTTATCTTCCTTTGTCGACTTCGAAAAGGCCTTTGATACGTTGAAGTGGTCTAGCATCTGGTCCCGTCTACTGGACATGGGGGTTCCGCCAAAGATCGTCCGGCTGTTGGAGAGTATGTATAGGACTTATTCCTGTAAAGTGACACATGACGGTCTTATCTCCGATGACATAGTGGTACACGCGGGTGTCCGACAACGCTGCCTCTTATCACCGCTTCTCTTCTTGGTCGTTCTGGATGGGATCATGCTTCGCACCACTGACAACGACGACGAGCATCGGTTTGACGTGGAGTGAGGTGAAGCGTGAAGCTCAAGACAGATCGCGATGGAGAACTTCATTGGACGCCCTCTGCCCCATAGGGGACACAGGATATTAAGTCATGGGATAAAACAGGAATCGTATTCTCATAGTCGCGGGCAACAGCTGGTAAATTATGTTTAGTGTCAGATCAAAAAAAGGCTTCTATACACTTCAGTCTGTATTTCCTTTTGGTTAACTGGGTATTAAAGGATTCGTAGAAGTGCGAGAAAAGATTTTATGTATAAATTTGACACTGAGCTAAGTCTTCATTGACTATTATGCCAAGTTTCCCTATCTTCCACAGATCGCTCCAGTCACGACGGAGGAGGTCCTCAACCAGGACACATGTCTGCAAGTCAACGGCAGCAGTGACAACAGCATCGCTATCCAAACTGTGCTGCCTGATATGACGGACTTCAAGTATATTGGTATGTTTATTTTAAAATAAAGTTTTAATGGAATTAGTATAATAAGAGTGGAAACATATAGTAAAATACGTTTCTATAATTCCGCTGCGTACAGTCACACTCCCGTCCTCTTTCTCAATTTCTCTGAAATTTCTGACTTTTTCTGGTATTTTTTTTTAATAAAACGTTGCCCTACATTAGGATTTTGTCCTGTGTCGCGGATGCGTTTACAAACATACAAATTCATGGGCCTCCGGTAGCGCTTCGGTTGTTTCACGTCTGTTTTCTGTGACACCGCGGTATCACTGAGTTTCATATAGAAGGTACAAATGGTTTGGGCTTCTCCCAGTTGCGCAGTCTCTTTTTGTGCCTCTGGGCTTAATTCATACTATCTCCTGCAGTAATTTACGGAAGTGGAAACTATCGTTTTTTTCTTCTTTTATAATATCTTCTGATTTATTTCGTTGCGGGAACCAAGACAGATATTCATGTCTCTGGAACGCACCGGACTCCAATGTTCCGGTGTTGTCATGGTTGTATCTACTGTAGATCCTGGCTTAAAGGAGTTGTAGTGGTTTTAAGAGGTTGTGGCGGGCTTATCCCAATCAAAAAAGTAAAAGTGTTAGAATTATGTCATTTTAAAGCTTATGACAATGGACATTGTCCTAATTTTTATGTGCAGTCTATAAGCGTCATTTAATTACTATTTTGAATCATCATACTGACAAATGCAGTTGTTACATTGAATATACTAGTTATCCGCCTGCTATTTTGGCTAATAAGCCAGTTTGACCAAAATATATTTAAACCTTCCTTAGATGGAAGCTGAAAAAATCTGACCTATCTAAGCCATCCTCAACAATCATACTATACATATATTACTGTATAAAAATTCGTCCAGAGTTTAACGTGTAAAAATATAACAAAAATAGTAATATTGGAGGCATAGAGGAAAAAAAAGAAATGTCACCGTGTGGCGGGAAAATTTAAGCTGTAGTTCAGGAAATTGAATACAAGATGGGACTTATTTTGTATTACAAAATTAGTCATTTCAACCACTCCCGGGCTTATTTTTTGGAAATTCTATCTGCTTAATTATGTATTGTTTATTTTCTTTCAAATTATTGGTTTTGGATGGTCCTGATTTTGTAATTTGATTTCGATGTTAACAATATAAGTAAAAGTTATGTTATTTTTGTAATTTGTAATTTTCCCCGCCTCCTGAGTTTCCAAAATCCGATGTGAATTAAAAGTAATGAGTTTCTTATATCAGAAGTATGATGTTCATGAAGGTTTTTAGATATAAAACGAATATATTTTTTTTTTATTTTAGGCACGGAAACAATGCAAGACTCGGAGACAGCAAAATGGCAATTCGTGCAGGTAATTGGACAGAAGCTGAACAAGTATACCATGTGGGTGAAATACAAGAAGTCGTTGAAGGAACGCGGTGTCTCTGTACCTATTCCCGTCAGGTAAATATGTTGACTACCCCTTTTGGCTCGCGTGCGTGGTAAATGTGAGATTGATTGAGTGAGTAAGTGAGTGAAGAAGAGTTTGAGCCGGCTTCAACTAAAAAAATGTATAATGTTGACGTTTAAAAGAATTGTTTTGTAGCCTACTTACAAAAAATCATAAAAAAGAGTAAGTAAAGATGAAAGCGAGTTAGTCAATGTGAGTGAGTATGAGTTCAAATGAGTGAATATGGGTTTGACGGTGAGTTTTTGTCTCAAAAAAGTGCGCGTATTATATTGGAATTTCTTCCTGCATTAAAAACCTGTTCCTCTATTAAAAAATGTCTTCTATCCCTAGGTATGAGATGAAAGGCTACAACTCGCTGCTCGGCTCCCACTACGACCACTACTACATTGATTATGTAGACTATGATGTAGAGGACATTGACCCCAACGTGTTCATTGTCGACCCCGGTAAGTAGATAAATTACATTTCTTTGTATTTTATTTAATACTAGCTACTTCCGCGCGGTTTCACACGCTCTGCTCAGCTCCTATTGGTCGTAGAGCGATGTTTTATAGCCTATAGCCATCCTCGATAAATTTGCTATGCAACGCAAAAATAATTATTCAAATCAGACTTGTAGTTACGGAGATTAGCGCGTTCAAACAAACAAACAAAAAAACAAACTCTTCCGCTTTATATGTATAAGATAAGATTTTTCTCTCTCATCTCTTCTTAATAATACAATAAGTAAAGTTCTTGTGCTGTAGCTTGAATTAAAGTCCATAATACAAAACATAAAAAAAACTGCCTCGTTGGTCGAGTGGTCGCAAGTGCGACTGCCGGTCAAAAGGTCTCGGGTTCGATTCCCGGGTCGGGAAAAGTAGTACTGGGTTTTAAAAAAGAATTCTCGGTAGTAGCACGGAGTCTGAAATTGTGCCCGGTATATAGTTTAAACCCCTAGATTAGATACATTAAACTGTCAAACACCAAGCGGTCACCGGTGACCGCAACCTATTGTTCTATAATTGTGTCTATAATGACGGTACTCGACGAGTTAAAATTAAGTACAATATCAGAATCTTAACTAAAACAATTATATATATGTTTTCGGCTTACTCACGTAATTATTTGACGAGGAACTCGACTAGTTTCAAGCCATGCTAGAGGCTTATATCAGACTCGAGTATCCAGTAGCAGCGCGACAGTCGCCGTGACGCGAGTCAAAGTGCTGCTCATGAATATGAGCCTCTAGAATGGCTTAAAAAAAACATTTAAAAATATATGTAATATAGCCTCTAGTATGGCTTGAAACTAGTCGAGTTCCAATGGGTGTGGCAACCAATGGGTGTGGCAGAAGAAGCATGAAAGCAGGATTAATGCGGTGGAAATGAGAGCCCTGAGAAATATGTGTGGACTAAAATTGAGTGATCAAGTGAAAAATAGTGTTATTAGAGAAAGGTGTGGATTGAAAGATGATGTAGTGACAAGGATTGAAAAGAGAATGTTACGCTGGTTTGGACATGTAGAAAGGATGGATGAAAGTAGAGTAACAAAAGAAGTATACAGAGCGGATATGAATGGGTCGTCGGTAGGGGGCGCCCTAGACGGACATAGAGTGACCAGATTGGCGATATATTAAAGAAGGGCCAAATTAAAAGTACCCTTAATCGACGAGAATGCATGAAAAGATTGATGACTGTTATTGAAGCGAAAGAGGTGGTATGGAAGAATCGTAGTAATTGGCGTTCCTTAGTCTCTGCCATGGGAGACAGGCGTGAAGTTATGTATGTATGTATGTATGGCTTGAAACTAGTCGAGTTCCTCGTCAAATAATTACGTGAGTAAGCCGAAAACATATAATACATTTAGTATGTCTTACGAAAGTTATAATACAAATAAAACAATTATTCCTTACCCAGCGATGAAATGCTCCTCGTTCCCCGGCCCGGGCGCCCGCCACTACGCGACATTCAACCCAATGATGGAGTTTGTACACCCAGCTAAGGACGAACATGTCATCAGCGAGTTTGACAGGTAAATACTACAACATTTTTTTATAGGATAACCTGGTAAACGAGCAGACGGATCACTTAATGGTAATCAATTAGCGTTGCCCATGGACACCTAGAACACCAGAGGCGTTACAAGTGCGGTACCGGCCCTTGGGGATTAGGAATTTCACGATTTTTGGAGATTCAGGAATTAGGCCTCCGGTAACATCATTCGCACAACGAAACACAACGCAAGTATTGTTTCACGTCGGTTTTCTGTAAATTATATATTTTTTTATTATGTTTCTAGGTTCAAGACAAAGCACGGCAAACAGTACGCTAGCGATGTGGAACATGAGAAGAGGCTGAATATCTTCAGACAGAATCTCAGGTAAATACTTATACCTAGTTATTTTCATTATCTAGCAAATAGTGTGCCAGGGATAGATCTAAAAAATACAGTACACCAATAGAGTTACTAAGATACAATCTGATTAGTCAAATTGAATTCTTGTTTAGTAATGTCTAACTAAACGATAGTTTATTGTTTGCAACTTTGTTTTGATTTTAACGCAAGTAGCAACCTGCTTAATGAGTTTAGTGGGGAGATTATTACATTATTCTATTATTCTATTAGGAGTTCATGTAATATTAGTTTATGTGATTGCGCAAGGTGCAAGAGAGTTTTGCACAAACTTGCGATGTTTTGCGAAAACTTGCGATGATTTGCTCATTCTTGCGATGATTTGCGCAAACTTGCAATGATTTGCGCATTCTTGCCATTATTTGCGCAAACTTGCGATGTTTTGCGCAAACTTGCACTACAAATGCGCATTGGAGCTAAAATAGGACGGTTTTATACAGTATCAATATTTTATTGTTATTGGAACATTCCAACAGGCCTTAATAAATATTGTTGTTGCTAGACTAATATTCTCCCACAACCGCGCCCGTCGTTCGTTCACGATGGCAGTGAACCACCTCGCGGACCGCACCGACACTGAACTAGCCGCTCTACGGGGAAGGAGATACTCCGGACCTAATCATGGTGAGATGCATTATATTTATTGATATAAATAAATTAACTTATGACTAAAAGCGAACGGCGGCAAGTAATTTCTGAGTCGAAAAAAAAAAGATTTCAGGAACTTTTTCGCGTTTTTATTCTATAGACAAAATTAAAAAAGTAAAAATAATTTCTTTGTTATGTAGGTACTTTGTAAAAATAATTTGTAAAACATGGGGTCCAAAGAAAAAAAAAAGTAACAATTACATTGAAAACTACTAAACTACCTCTTTGGCTTTCTGCTCGAAAACGATATAGTACTTTGAATACAAAGTTAGGCAAATAATCGGTGATTACAATGTTGACCAGCGAATAATCAGTTTAATCGACTCGTCGGGACATATCCAGTAATTTGCTTGTTTATTTTGTGTGTTTTTCTATCAATGTGTCTGTCTGTATGTCTGTAGGTCTGCTATTCCCGTACAGCCAGTCTCTAGTGGAGGAGGAGTCGGACAAGTTGCCCAGTGAACACGACTGGAGACTGTTCGGGGCTGTCACACCCGTCAAAGGTAAACCAACCAATATGACACTGTACTATTTATTATGGGCGGTGGAATTTAGCTGCTATATATACAACTTAAAATGGCGAGCTTTATTAGAGAAGATTGCATAGATCGCGTAGTTGCTGCGAAACATGCGAATTTGGGTACTTGCAAACTAGTCAAATACTTCAATACTTTTTTCGAACTGTGAAAAACGACAGTTTTATATGAAATTTTGTACGAGACTGTGTAGCAATACCTACGTCGTGTGACGTCACGTTTTTGTAGCGTCAAACAACATATATTTATTTCCCAAAAATTTGCTGGAACAATATTGAAATTAAGTATGTTATAAAATAAATTTATGAAAGTGAGATTATTTTATAATATTTTATTGTATTGAACAGTCGAAATGGTTTATTTTTAATTAATTCTTCGAGTACCTTCATTATAGACATTAAGAACAATAGGATGCGGTCACACCGGTGACCTCGCAGTGTTTGACAGTTTAAGGAAAGTACCCAATTGTTGTTTCGAGAGAAAATACTACTTGAGAATCAGATGAAGAATCGTGGTGACGAAATGTTACCGTGTTTCCGTTTAGTAAGCGACAATTCCGTATGCCGAAATTAAATAAAGCTGATGGTTCTTTATCAACGAGGGATATCGACTTCTATGACACGAAATGACCAGCGGCGTCGATAAAAGTATTTTATCCTGCCAAGGTAAGTCATCATCATCAACAGTCTATAAGTGGTCACTGCTGACCAAAGACCTCTTCTCGCACGGAGAAGGTTTAAGTATTTTGGCATATAAGGCATTAATCACCACGCTTGCTCAATGCGGGTTGGCGATTTCAAACTTATAATTAGAAATTATTAACCCAGGTTTTCTCATGATGTTTTCCTTCACCGTTTGTCAGTGGTATCTAGATAATCTTAGAAAGTACATATAACTCGGAAAAAGTCACATTGGTACTTGCCGTTGGTAGGCTCGAACCCGCAACCAAGGTTATTTATTATATTATTAAAGTTATTTTCTTTCCCCAGACCAGTCAGTATGTGGTTCGTGTTGGTCGTTCGGTACTACGGGGGCAGTGGAGGGCGCCTTGTTCCTCAGTAACGGAGGGAAACTGGAGAGACTCTCGCAACAGGCACTCGTCGACTGCTCATGGGGGTAAGCAGAGTACTATTTCATGTCTTTAGTGAAATAGAAAAGTGTGTGCAATTTGTTGTTAGGCGTGAAGTGTGATAAATAATAGTGAGTGTTCAGTAAGTTGTGTTGATATTAAAATACAGACATAGGCTTCGCCATTTTCGATATTAAGTCAGTGATGAGTGAAGGATAATACTTTCATATTGAAAATGTTATTATTTTTTTATGGTATAAGCCGGTAAACGAGCAGACGGATCACCTAATGGTAAGCAATCAGCGTAGCCCGTGGACACCAGAGACAATTGCGTTACCGGCCTTTCGGATTCGACACAATGCAATCGTTGTTTCACGTCTGTTTTCTGCTCGGCCGTGATATCACTCTCATCGAACCAGCCCATTCATGCCGAAGCATGGCTCTCCCACACTTATTTCTATAATTCACATACCTATAACATGTCGCGGAGAACCTAACGGGTAACCGGGGTACCGGCTCGACGTGCAGGAGAAGGAACGGGGTGGTTTTTAGTCAGTAAGAGTCTGACACTCCCTTCCGCCTCACCCAGCCGGGAGCAGTCATTCGATGATTTATCCCCCCTTAAAAAAATAAAAATAAAATACCTATAACATAACACTTGTCTCGTCCTGTAAAAAGTACATGGTTGTTATATAATATATTTTTGTTCAATTAACGTTCTTTGCATTCCAGTTTCGGTAACAACGGCTGCGACGGTGGCGAGGACTTCAGAGCGTATCAGTGGATCATGAAACATGGCCTGCCTACTGAGGAGTCCTATGGAGACTATCTTGGACAGGTGGGTTTTAGTCACATACATATCATGACGCCTATCTCTTATTGGGATATGCAGAGACAACGCACCGCAAAATGCCCAGACTAATTATACTTATTTGCCCGTCTTTAGAATAGAACCCGCGACATCTTGTTCGGCAGTTAAATATCTGACGTTTGTTTCGGCATTTCTTCTCAGAGTAGTCAGTTAGGAAATGTCGGCCTCATCGTTCGCTTGATAAAATTGATGTGTAAAAGTGCTGCCTTGTATTTGCAGAAATAAATTCACTTGTTTAACTTGTTTCACTTTTGTTTCACTTGTTTCACTTGTTTCACTTATTTCACTTGTTTCACTTGTTTCACTTGTTTCACTTATTTCACTTGTTTCACTTGTTTCACCTGTTTCACTTGTTTCACTTGTTTCACTTGTTTCACTTGTTTCACTTGTTTCACTTATTTCACTTGTTTCACTGACGGGTTGTCGTGTTTAGTCTATTTATTAAAATCTTTCTTTGTACTTACGTCTAGAATAAAATAAATATTTGTTGCAGGACGGCTATTGTCACTTGGACAACGTCAGCATCGCGACCAAGATCAAGGGATGGGTCAACGTCACCAGCAATGATGAGAAGGCACTCAGGGTAAGTCTAAAGCCGATTAAATTTACTTATAACGTAACATTACGGTAGGCAGAGGTGCACATTACGGCACTTAATGCCACTGTACAATGTAACACCCACTTTTCACTATTTATGTTATGAGTCCCATGTAATAGGGGGTGAACCTATTGCCATATACCGGGCACAATTTTATTCCAGACGCCGTGTTTTTTTAAGATTTTTTTTTAAAACCCAGGAGTACTTTGCCCGACCCGGGAATCGAACCGACTACTCGAACCAATAGAACGGCCCACGAGGCAGTTAAATTATGGAAAATAAGAATGGTTCCGAAAAACAAATTAATCTCCAGCGATCTGTGGCCGACTATGAAAATGGATCTTCGAATAACAAAACTAAACTTCCGAATACAATATTGAACCTCCGACAATATTACTAAGTTACCGACAACAGACGTTTTAGGTTAGGTTAGTATTGTAGCAATAAACAGTCATGTAAAGTAGTCGGAAAGTTAGTATTTTAGGCAGTAGATTTAATATTTTCAGTAAGGACAATTCTTCTTTTCTTGTCGGAGCTTTTATTACTACCCTTCAATTATTATCTCACAATCTAATAAACGTATAGATCAACAATGTAAATATGAATCGATTGTCTTTTTTCCAGCTGGCAATCTTCAAGCACGGGCCGATCTCCGTGGCTATTGATGCGGCGCACAAATCTTTCAGTTTCTACTCTAATGGCGTCTACTATGAGCCAGCATGGTAAGTAACATTTATTATCTTACATTGAGTAGCAATCAATTAGCTGGATGGTTTACCTAATGTCCACGACACGATACGAAAGTAACGTGTGTTCAATATTAAGTGTGTAGTTATTTCGTAAGTCGCTAAAATGATAAATATGTGAATAACGAAGAAAAGTAATAATAATATTATGTTAGGAGAAATAATATGTTATCCTAGTTGTAAGCATTTTTGTAATTCGTTTTATTAAATGTAACATTTTGACTTTATTATATTGTAAAATTTAACTTTGCATGCCGAAAACAGTGCGCGATGTATGTGGGAATATTTTTTTATTATTATTATTACCTGTAATTACCATACTTCGTGCAAATAAACGTTCTTATTCTTAACGATCACGTCAATAAAAAACGATGGCCTCGTATTTTGACTGCACGCTTGGCAACTGGCTGCCGCGCAACGTATCGTGGGTTCCCGCACGGAGCAACTCTTTGTGTGGTCCACAGATTGTTGTCCCGAGTCTGGGCGTCATTTGTATGTGAACTACTTGTAAGTTTGTAATCAAAATTCTAGTGCGGGCCAACGTATTTTGTTTGTAAACGCACTCATGCAACCACCATTAAAATTTTTCTCTGTGGCGTCTTTTACAAAATAGTAATAAATATTCTGAATTCCTCTATCTAATTTATCATCACCATCTTTAACATATTTCTTCTTTGCAGCCACAATAAAATCGACGAGCTAGACCACGCGGTCCTCGCCGTAGGCTACGGCATCCTCAAAGGTCAGAAATATTGGTTAGTCAAAAACTCCTGGTCTAACATGTGGGGTAACGATGGCTATGTCCTCATGTCCACTAAAGACAACAACTGCGGGGTACAGTCCGCCCCCACTTACGTTTTAATATAGGGTAAGACTAGGAGGCGGTCTTACCCTACCTTGTATTTATTACCCTATTAAAAATTACTTGGGTAAGACTTTGGGAATGATCTTACCCAATGAGACTGCAGAGTTGAGGAGATTTAGGGTAAGATTGTTTAAATATTCTTACGCTTTCAAGGTAAAGTGTTCTTACGGCCGAAATTAATAATTGATCTTAGAGCCGATTTTCCAATATTAAGAGTTTTTTTATACAGCAATCGACAGATATTAATTTTATTCGACGAATAAATATTATCTGTTGATTGAATAAGCATTGGTTTGTGTCAGAAATTCAATCAAAGTCGGCAGTCGCAAAGATTTTGCATTGAAGTTTCTAGCTGTTTCGGCTGTAATATTCGGTAGGGTCAGGCTATCTGTAGGGTAAGACCGACTTTACTAGGGTAAGTTGATTTTACTTCAGTTTAAACCGTTAATTGTCAATTGCAATGTTACTAAAGATCAAGTTGTTACTATAAATAATTTAATATTTAAAAAATATTCAGTAAAACATTGAATTGAAAGTTCTAATAGCAATTTTATAATACGAAGAAATGTATGAAGAAGGCGTTAAGAAGTCTAATATATTTTTATAATATGAAAAATAGTAATTAAATAATTAATTCTAATAATAATGCTTCATGAATCTAATGGCGTCTCTTATTAATATATAAGAGTTTGTCCTGAATTAATAATATTTAATTACAGTTTTACTATATTTTCTCATAATTCGTTTATGTTTTATTCTTAAATATATTCATGTTAACTGTTATTGAATTTAATGTTCGTTGCCGGTCAAGGACTATATATATAACTTCAATATATATTGATTTGTATATATATAAAGAATGATAAACACTTGGAGCAAAGAAACGGAGTCACCAGCGATTTTCTTTTTCATTTCTTTATAAATGTCATCTGATACAAGTATTTTATTAATTGGTAACGTATGTCGTTATAAAAGGATATTTAGTTATCTTTAACATAAGAGCATTTTGTTGGAAAAGGAATCATCAACAGCCTATAAATGCCCACTGCTGACCAAAGGGATCTTCTCACACGGAGAAGGTTTAAGCATTATTCACCACGCTTTATCAATTCGGGTTGGCGAATACAAACTTATAACGATGTTTTCCTTCACCGTTTGTCAGTGGTAACGTATGTCGTACAAAACGAATATGTTTTTTTAAAGTTATAGAGGTTTCTATAAAATGAAAAAAGAATGATAGTGGCTTCGTTTCATTGCTTCTAACACAGTAATATTGATAGATTCACCCCCTATTATATGGGACTCATAACTTGGCGAATAGTGAATGTTACACCTGAATACATATCCAAATATCTGAAATATATTCTACATAAATTTAATTATTAGCAAAGTTGAGAACCAAAATATTTCATTGTCTAATTTTTTTTATAGTATAATTTTGTTAATAGATGTTTTATAACTAAATGCAATATTTTTAATACATCATGTATTTTTTCCGTAAATATGTAGGTACAAAATAATTTAATTGTTATTTTTTTTCTAATACAGATTAAATATTCGCTTTGAGTGTTGCCTTGTCTAAAATTCTAAGTGACTTGTCTATGTTTTTAAGTGAAAAGGTATCTCTTTATTTTGTAAGATTTATAAGAATTTTGTAACAGGCTGTGTTTGGCTTCGCTCTCTGATTATAAGAAATACATTTTTTGTAATAAAATTATAATATTGTTGTTTTATTTTACTACTACCATATCTCTCGCGTCTACTACAGAAAATATATTGCTGCCGGGGCTCCGGCTCGAAGGGCAGAAGTAGGAACGGGGTGGTTTTTAGTCAGTAATATACATATATAGTCTGATACTCCCTCTCGCCTCACCCAGGCGGGAGCAGCCATTCGATGATTTTCCCCCTTAACTCGTCGAGTACCGGTTTTGCAGACACAATTATAGAACAATAGGTTGCGGTCACCGGTGACCGCTTGGTGTTTGACAGTTTAAAAAAACCTATGAGAACTTGAAAGTGGTCAGTCAACCTGACGTCCGTGGTTGACCACTTTATTTTTTTGATAAATTTCTTAATGCAAAGCTAGCAAACATTTAACTATAGGTAGTAGGTACTCAAAAAATACATCGGAATTCATCCATCCGTTGTCACTTAAGCCCACGCCCCAATCTTCAGGAATCTTAGAAGTTATCTCGCCAGGTAATCTTTTATATGGAAAAATTACCATTGGCGGAGTAACTTGACCATCTGCACCAAAAGTAAACATGACGGTTAGTGAAGTTTTAGCTTGGGCGTGGTCAATTTCGTATACGTTTTTTTCTCCCTTAGAGCTTAAAACAATACCTGTTTTTGGACATAGAACAAAATTTGTTTCATCGCCATTGAATACTCTTGATGGATCTGATAAGATGTCATAGTAGCTATTTTCAGTCATGTAAATCCTTATTTGTTCAAACCAGCCTCTTACATCAGATGCAGAGACCGTGGAGCTGGCAGCTGTTACGGCTTCTGGTGTTCGAAATGTAACTGTTGGATGTCTAGCTAAAAACAATTTAAACCACTTGTCACCATTCCTAAAACTACTGGCTCTCCCCGATTTATTAATAAAGTCTGAAACACTCTTTATCAAATCTTCTTTCCTCTTCGGAAACCCTTTTTTGCTACTGATTTTTATCCAGTCAACAAAAAGCTGTTCTTCTTCGTCAGTTAAAATTGTGGGAGGACCGGGCTTAGAGCGATGATCAGGATTTTTCAGTCTGAATTGTACAGTAGACCGTGGTACGCTGAAGGTTTTTGCAGCAAGTTTTTTGCTCATGCCTTTTGATATTTCGTGGAGAGCTTTTTGTAGGTTCTCTTCTGTATAAATTTTCCGTTTCAAACATTTTTTACTATTTTTTTCTCTAGACTTCTTCTGACTAGGCTTCATTTTGAAAGTGGCTGAAAAGACAATATTTTATTTTATTGGCACGTTTTTACCCAATGTTTGGCACCCGTGCCAATAAATGGATTTTATATAATTGGCAGGGGGGCAACTTTTGGATTGGTGTATCCAAAACGTTAGAAAATATTTTTAATTTAATTTAAACTCAATTTTGAGAAAAACAAGGTATAATTTTTAATAAACTCAAATTATTTAAAATGCCCTTTTATTGGCATGTATGCCAATAAAATGGATAAACCAATATTACGCATACCAAATGTTGTCACCCCACAAATAACTAAAAGTTGGCGGTTAAATGATAAAATAATGTTTTAAAAAGGCAGTTAATATATTCAATAATAAGACAAAATGATTATGTATAAGAAAAACAAAATAGATTTTCAAGTTTTAAAAGATTATGATAGCTCTTACCTTAGTAAAAAACGAATATTTTGATTGTTTTTGTCGCACAGGTCGCGGCTTGTCAAACAGATGGTAAATGCGCCGCCATGTTTGAAAAAAAATAAAACGTGTGTTGCCAGTTGAGTAATAAATGATACTACTGTTTAATTTCTACTAAAAAATTTTAGTCTGGCTACAAATAGATCTTAATTTTCTTAAAAAACTAGAGCATGCCAATAAATTGGTGGAGTGCCAATGATTGGGTGGTTTACCCTAAGTAGTAGCAAATAGGTATTAACTCGTCGAGTACCGGTTTTGTACAACCGGTGTCTACAAAACCGGTACTCGACGAGTTAAATAGTGCATATGATCTCAAGGACATGTCTCGTTTGGTCCAGTCATCCTGAAGCTGACTAGAAAAGATGGATCAACATTGGTTTACTAAAGCGCTAAATATAATAAACGATATCGATTTATAATCTAACTATAACTATAACTAACATCTTTGATATTGGTAAAGATTGAGTTTTGATATTTAGCGCCGGTTTCACTACCTCCATATAAGTACCTGATAAACTTATGTAACAGATACGTTCTTAACTCAATGTATCTGGTAAAGTCTGGCAAACGAAAGTAGAGACTGAAAAAGCCCGGCAAATTTAAAAAATATCAGTATAGCAACCCAAAAATTAGTATGTCACACCTGGAGTAACCAGACGTGAAGACGTAACAAACAAACAAATTATTATAAAGTATCAAATTAGGTTACTCCAGGTATGACATACTAATTTTTGGGTTGCTATACTGATAGTTTTTAAATTTGCCGGGCTTTTTCAGTCTCTACTTTCGTTTGCAAGACTTTAGATAACGGCTATCCAGATATTGTGGAACAGACCCTAAGACTAAATTAAAAAAAGAAAAAAATTAATATAGATACAAATAATTTGAAAAAGATCGGTTATTGATTTGTTCTATAAATTAAGTTTCTTATAGAATTTAAATTTACAAATAAAAATGAATACCCGTTCGTTAGTCTTGCTAAATTTCAACAACGGCTGAACCTATTTGGCTTATTTTGGTCTTGAAGTGTTCGTGGTAGTCCAGGGAAGGCCCAAAAGGTGATAAAAAATTTTTAGTTATAACGAAGTCGGGTCGGCTAATCTATATATATAAAAGAAAATCGTGTTAGTGACACTATTTATAACTTTATAACTCAAGTACAGCTAAATCAATTTTGATGAAAATTGGTTGGGAGGTAGCTTAGAACTTGGAGATAGGATACTTTTTTATTAAATATTTTTTTAGTTTTTACCAAAACTTACGAACGGGAACGGGAATAAACGGGATTGCGCGTAAGAAGTCCCAGACAGAAGATAGAATTCAATAAGGATTTTTTTAAATAAAGAATAATGTATTTTATTTCGTTTACAAATTGCTACTAGAATAATCCATATCGCAGTACTCGTTCTGGCTGCCTTCTTAATCTCCTCGCGTTTTTACGATGACCAATGGGCGAGACACACATGTTGCCCTGTTTGACGAGGTTACCTGGACAGTTGTCTTGGACTATTGTCTTTTGGTACTGGAATAAAAGTAGAATTTATTAAATTAATTACGTTTAATTCGTAGTTATAGATATATATATATAAATCTATTTGTCGCTCTATAGGCTTACCCCCTATTACATGGGACTCATAACATAAATACCTAGTGAAAAGTGGGTGTTACATTGTACAGTGGCATAATGTGCACCTCTGCCTACCCGTTCGTGGATAAAAGGCGTGATGTTATGTATGTTATGTTATTTGTCGTTTTTTTTTGATATATTACTTCAATAACATTTTACTTACGAGGTCGCCATGTAAATCAATTATCATTTAATATTGTAAGTGGTAAAATGTCGGATGTTATCTTATCTGAATTTATTTTTACCGACTTCAGAAAAAGGTGGAGGTACTATGTTCGGCTAATTGTTTTTTTTTTGGTTGTAAGTATCTTATAATATTATAAATGTGAAAGTTTGTGAATATTTGTGTTTGAGTATTAATCACATAAAACCGGCTAAAACGATCGGAATGAAATTTGGAACAGGGATAGATTATGGTTTGGAATAATGCATAGGCTTGCCTGCAGCTTCGCCCGCGTTCTTATGAGATGCTAGTATTGTATATTGTGTACTTGTGTATCTACCTATCTCTTCGGGGGCTTAAAACTCCTTAATACCATTTGTTTCAAGATAAATCTGTGGGAACTAGTTTCATAAAAATAAGTTCAGCAGTTTTTGAGAAATAAACAAATTAGTTAGTTATCAAACTTGACATAATAGGGTAGTTTCCAGGGTATGAAAATTAAAAATCGAATTAGTCCGTCAGTTAGATAATGATTTTTTTTTATTTGCTCCTATAAAGTTACAGTACTTAGATTAAATGTCTTTAAGTTTAGGAGTGGGAGGTCGTTACGTCACAAGTGTTTCAAAAATGTAGCGCATAGTGACGTCACACGATATTTCAAATGAATGTACCGTCGAAAGTTTTTCTTTTTTTTTCTTTCTTCCTTTGGCAACCGAGGAAAGTTTTTCATTTTGTGAGAAAAGAAAAAATACGTGTCTAATGTTATAAATTAATCTACCAGACGGACATTGAAATAAAATTTAGGAAACTACCTTATTATGTCATTATTAAAGTAGTCATTCGTTTAGAAACTGCCAACATCTATCACAGTAGCTAAGTATCTTTGACGAGCAACGAGGTCCTCGTCGAAGCTTACAATTAATATTTTTCTTCAGCTAGAGTCTGGCAAACGAAAGTAGAGACTGAAAAAGCCCGGCAAATTTAAAAAATATCAGTATAGCAACCCAAAAATTAGTATGTCATACCTGGAGTAACTAGACGTGAAGACGTAACAAACAAACAAATTATTATAAAGTATCAAATTAGGTTACTCCAGGTATGACACACTAATTTTTGGGTTGCTATACTGATAGTTTTTAAATTTGCCAGGCTTTTTCAGTCTCTACTTTCGTTTGCCAGACTCTAGTTTACTTACCGTCCAATAATTCCAAAATGGATATGAAGGTATCACAACTTTTGATCCCGGCTGGTCTGCCGCGTCTGGTGTCTGCTCACTGTTGCCATTACCTAAATAGTCCGGTACTTTGCCCGGAGCGAACGGGTCGTGCAGTTCACCAGACTTATCAATGTCAAAAGCCCTTAGCAATTTCAATTCGTCCTTTAAACTTAACCTGTCTAGAAGCGACTTGAATCTCTTTTTAGTTTTCTTCCATTTTAGTTTTTCTTTTATATCGTGTTCAAGATATTTTTTCAAATGTGGCAGTAGATCTTGGGAGTTGGGTTCTTTCTTCATGAGCGAGACTAGATCGTTGTTTGTGTCACGTATCTTCGGCTCCATTCGTACAACGGACTTCTCGTCTCCAGCACTGGGTTTGGTTATGTGGTATCTGAACAGAGGTTTAAATACTGTGTTCAGCCGGGAGTCGTATTCGTGCTCTCCCGTCTTGTACCCGTGCGGTATGATCCTTTTCACGAACATTGACTTGCCTGCGGGTTTGAATCTGTGTCGGCTCTTCTTCGGCTTGACTTCTGCATAGTTCGGTATGTCGTAGCCTTGTAGGACTTGCTTCAACTTCGACAGCACTTCATTTTCTTCGTCGGCGTCCAGATGGTACACTTGGTAGGACCATGTTATGTGTAGGTGCAGGATTATGATCACACATATTTTTATATGTAATTGTTGAAACATTGATAGCAGTTGACTCCTGTGTTTGGTTTCATTGATTGCAATAAGTGAAGGTATTCAACCATGACATTGACTTTATGGAAATCTTATTATTGTTGGAATTTTTATGAGGTATGGTAAAACAATGGTCATTTTAGTTATATCATGGTGTTAGACTCGACATTATGTCTTAAAAAAGTAAAGTTGTCAGGATATTTTTCAGTTTTAAGGATATTATTAGCTGTTATGTAGCAAATCTAAATGTGTTTCTTTGAAATTTTTTTATTTTGAAGTACTTTATATTTGAGATACCCCAGTTACACACGTTTCATGAAATTGTTGTAGACACATTAATTTTAGAATTACAATATTTTATTGTTTATTGATATTCAAAGAGATTGGACAAGATCTTACGTTCCTGCATAACAAGGAAATTAAACAATGGTCATCTATTTGTAGGTTTATAATGATGTATATTTCGAAATGGTTAAACAATGAATGCTTCGAAAGTGCTCATTCAATTAAGATAAAATACAATCAGATTGTAAGTTTAACACAAAGGCGGTTCGAAATCTCGTCGAAAATTTATAAAGTCCCAAGTTTGGTGGTCGTCATATTAAATATTCAATGTTTCTGCGAAGTGTCCACCTTCTTGGTTTTGAGTTTCGAAAGTGTCTTTTAGACTATCATGTCTGTGTTAAAATTCTAGTTGTTATTAGACTTTGAAAATATGATTTCGAAATTCTCAATATCAAGTAACTTAATAATTTTTTTTTTAAGCGTTGTCCCTCACTAGGATTGTCTCCTGTATCGTGGGTGCGTTTACAAACATACAAGTTCACATACACATGACACCCAGACCCGGAACAACAATCTGTGGATCACACAAAAGAGTTGCTCCGTGCGGGAATCGAACCCGCGACACATTGCGCGGCAGCCATTTGCCCAGCCACCGAACCAACCGTGCAGTCAACTACCAACTTACTTTTTTTTTATAGCACAAGCCGGTAAACGAACAGACGGATCACCTGATGGTAAGCAATCGGCGCCGCCCATGGACACTCGAAACACCAAGGCGTTACAAGTGCGTTACCGGCCTTTTGGGAATTGGGGATTTGAGGATGTGGAGGATTCGAGGATTCGGGAGGCGGGGACTAGGGAGGGGGTAATTAATTGGGCCTCCGGTAACCTCACTCACACGACGAAACACAACGCAAGCGTTGCTTCACGTCGGTTTTCTGTGAGGCTGTGGTATCACTCATTCGTGCCGAAGCATGGCTCTCCCACACTTACTTATGGAATTGAGGCGTGTTTATCACTATGTAGTTACCTAAGTTCATTATCGCCTGTGATAGTCCACTGCTGGACTATGTGTCTCCTCTACATAAAAGGGTTTGCCATATTATCCACTTTCGGCAGGTGAGATGGCGATTACAGTTCAAAAGGTTCATAATTATCAAATAGTTTGTGCTGTGTTTTAGTTTCCGTCAAATGTGTGGTCTCTTAGACGGCCTCGTTGGCCGAATGGTCGCAAGTGCGACTGCTGGGCAAGGGGTCTCAGGTTCGATACCTGGGTCGGGCAAAGTATTATTAGGTTTTTTTTTTAAATTCTCAGTAGTAACATGGAGTCTGGACACGTGCCCGGTATATGGCAATAGGCACCCCCTATTACATGGGACTCATCATAACATAAATAGTGAAAAGTGGGTGTTGCATTGTACAGTGGCATAATGTACACCTCTGCCTACCCCTTCGGGGATAAAAGGCGTGTTGTTATGTTATGTTATGTTATGTAGTCTCTTAGTTGGCTTTAAAGACACTCGTGCGAAAAGAGGTGGTGACCAAGATACTCAAATCTGCGGGTGTTTAGAACATTTCTGAAAACAATATTTTAACTCTAAGTCAACAACATAGAACAAAATGATCCTCTTCTATAACCGCGCATGTATTATAATTGAATATTAAATAACGTAGGCCGTTTAAATTGAAAAATAAAATAAACATTTCATAATCTCCGTAGACCAATAATTTTGTTAATATTATTTCGTAAAATGGTTCATAAATCAGGCTGAAATTAGCTTTTTTGTATTGTTTAGACTTAAGGTTCAAAGTTTGGCTACTGTCTGGGCTAATAAATAAGTACTAAGGTTATAGGTATTAAGTTTCTAAACTATCTATATAAATATGCTAGCTAAGAAGGAGGCGGGGTGCGTGAGGCAGCGAAGCGCTACCTCCTCACAACCCAGCCATCGCGAGGGACACTCCGGGCGTCGGGGATCGCGGGACGATCTCCAGCCACCGTAAGCGCGGGCCTGCGGACGGAGAGCATCGGTGGCTCACCGCCCGACCAGAACCAGGCCGGAGCGTACGGCGCGTCGCGTTTAAAGAGCGATCAGATCACCAAGGATGGGGCCCAATAGGGCTGATGCCGATTCGGAGCCGCGGAGACCGTAACGAGTTACCGGGGCTTCGGTTCGAAGTGCAGGAGTAGGAACGGGGTGGTTTTTAGTCAGTAAGAGTTTAACACTCCCTCCCGCCTCACCCAGGCGGGAGAAGTAATTCGATGATAAAAAAAACTATCTATATAAACAAAAATTAATTTTCGTTCGTTCGTTAGTCTCGCTAAAACTTGACGGCTGAACTGATTTGGCTAATAAAATAATGATAAAACCACCCCGTTCCTACTCCTGCTCTTCGAGCCGGAGCCCCGGCAACCCGTTAGGCCTTCCGCGGATCCGTAGCATGGTCTGGAACTGCGCCCGTTATATGGCAATAGGCTCACCCCCTATTACAAGGGACTCACAACATAAATAGTGAAAAGTGGGTGTTACATTGTACAATGCCATTAACTCGTCGAGTACCGGTTTTGTAGACACAATTATAGAACAATAGGTTGCGGTCACCGGTGACCGCTTGGTGTTTGACAGTTTAAGTGCCGTAATGTGCAACTCTGTCTACCCTTTCGTGGATAAAAGGCAGTTATGTTTAAATATTCTGACAAAACGACAAACTGCCTATTTGTTTTTGTTGAATTTTTATTCGTTTGATAGAATACAATAGCTGAAAATATGTTTTTATGAAATACAGTGGGTGTACATGAGTTATGGATGCGTTGGCAAACTGCCGACTGGTGCTGCAGTCATTCGTTATTCCAACTTTTAACTATTTTTGATTAATGTAGATTTTAACTTAGTTTTTATCGTTCTTATTATAAAGAGAAGTTGGGTACTTTGTAGCTTACCTACTTACATGAAAGATGAGTACAAAATAAATAATAGGCTATAGGTTTTTTTTAAAGTATTACATGTAACAATATAATAATGACTGCACAATTGGGTACTTGTCAACTAGTCAAATTCAATACTTTTTTCGAACTGTCAAAAACGACAGTTTTCTACGAATTTTGTACGAGATTGTGTATTGTGACGTCACGTTTTTTTTGGGTCAAACAGCATACATTCTTAAAATATTTATGGAAAAATACTATAATTAAGTAGGTCATAAAATCAATTAATGAAAGTGTGATTATTTTGAACATTTTATTGTATTGAACAGTCGAAATAATAATTTATTTTTGATTAAGGAAAGTAGGTACCCAATTGGCTTTTCGCTTTTTTCTTTTACCTATCTATTATGGTGGTCACAATAGCACATTAAGCGACGTTGAATATACTGGATCGGGCTTCCATAAAAAATTTTAATGGGTAAATTCATCCATACGACTTCTCCTGCCTTGGGTGAGGCGAGAGGAAATGTCAGACTCTTACTAACTAAAAACCCCGTTCCTACCTCAGTTTCGAGCTGGGTAACTCGTTAGGCCATTCGCGGCTCCGTATCACGCATCAGCCCTACTGAACCCCATCCGTAGTGGGCTGAAGGCTCGTTGAGGCGCGCGTATAATGCAACGTGCTATACAGCTTCCATGTGTCTATCATTCATATTTTGTGATTTCGATTTATTTGCAAAATCCTATTTTTATTATGAAAACGTAATATCAATTTCATGCATGGAATGCTTCTTTAATTCCAATTTACATTGAACTCTAGGTAGTCGTACATCAATGTTTAAACAATTACATATAAAAATATGTGTGGTCATAATCCTGCACCTACACATAACATGGTCCTACCAAGTGTACCAACTGAACGCCGACGAAGAAAATGAAGTGCTGTCCAAGTTGAGGCAAGTCCTACAAGGCTACGATATACCGAACTATGCAGAAGTCAAGCCGAAGAAGAGTCGATATAAACTCAAACCTGTAGGCAAGTCAATGTTCGTGAAGAGGATCATCCCGCACGGGTACAAGACGGGGGAGCACGAATACGACTCTCGGCTGAACACAGTATTTAAACCTCTGTTCAGATACCACATTATCAAACCCAGTGCAGGACAGGAGAGGGCCGTGGTGCAGGAGACGAACCCGGAGCAAAAGATGTCAAATAAAATCAGCAATCTGATCCGGGTCGCAAAGAAAGACCGAAAGACTTCGAAATATAGAACTCTGAAGCGGCAACTACTAAGACATATTATAAAGAATTACTTATTCAAAGACAAAAAGAATCGGAAGAAAAAGAGATTCGGTGGTTTACTTAACTTAAAGAAGTTGAGAGACACGGAAAACCTGTTAAGGGATATGGAGAAATCTGGAGAAAAGGACGGTCAAATGACTCCTGGTAATGTGCCACCCGATGTATTACCGAACGGTGCACAACCAGTTAGCAAAGAGGCAGTTACGTACCCATACTATCCGTTCTGGAATTATTGGACCGTAAGTAATTATTTACCTCTATTATTACTCCTATTCATTTTTTTTAACTAGCTACACGTTTTTGATTTGCTTTTTTGTTTTGTTATGTGCATTTTATGGTGTGTGTTTAGTTAAAACATGCTATATGTTTATTGTTGTCTGAATGGTGACTTGTTCGTCAGCGAGTCACTTAAGGGGCCAGTAGAATACCAGCACGAGGCCCTGTATTGCACATGCTGAACTGGTCCCATTTCACGGCAGACTTGGGACATTAGTAGATATTTATAAACTTACGTGGTAAATCTGTATGTGTCACCTGTGTTAGCGTGTGAAATAAAGTTTTCCTTTCTTTCTTTTCTTTTTTTCTTTCTAATACTGTAAAAAATGATGTCTCACAGATCTTTGATGATAACTTATGCAGAGATTGGGAAACTGGCCGTTAATGTCTCTTTTTAACTCGTTGAGTACCGTCTTTGTAGACACAATTATAGAACAATAGGTTGCGGTCACCGGTGACCGCTTGGTGTTTGACAGTTTAAGGGTTCATTGTTAATATAATTTCATTCAGTTGCTTTTGGCCCTTGGTCCACTACAAATAATCTTAGTTTTTCCAGTTAACTGCATCCAAATGTTCTTTCTTTTGAGAGATCAGTGTGTGCCCTTTCTTTAACAATCTCAGCAGGATTCTTATAAGGTGATCTTGGGTAGACAGAGGCAGTAGAACGGCCGTATGGCACGATTCTAGCATTCACACCTATTTCGCTTCATCCACGTTCATTAATCTTTTCAGGAGTGCTAGCTTCTAATTTAATATCTTAAAATTATTTAGTAACATTTTATCTATTTCCAGTATCAAAAAACTGTGGTTCAAGATCAGTGCCCGGGTAACCTGGTGAAGTTAGGGAACATGTGTGTTTCCTCTATTGGGCATCGTCGTCGACGATCGAGGAGAGGCGGGAACTATCGCCGGTCTAGACCTAGACAGCGACTACGTTATGGCTAATTTAATGAAAATAAATGAGTAATTTTACTTGAATTTTATTAAACGCTGCAACTACATGAGGTTACTGTGTTCCACTGTACAATTTAGAAAAAAAGTTATGACTCTCGTCTTCTGCATATATGAGTATTTTATCCATTCCAGGTTTGGCACGCTAGTTGGATATCAGAGTTTAAAAGGTTCACGTTTATTAGAGAGCGTTGCTATCTGGTCCTTGTCAAATGAGTGATTCCTTTAGTTTTTTTTATACCACGACCGTGACGCTGAGCAAAGCCTCTTTTCACACGGAGAAGGTTTGAGCATTAATCACCAAGCTTGCTCAATGCGGGTTGGCGATTACAAACTTATAATTAGAAATTATAAGCCCAGGTTTCCTCATGATGTTTTCCTTCACCGTTTGTCAGTGGTGTGTGAATAATCTTAGAAAGTACATATTACTCGGAAAAAGTCACATTGGTAATTGCTATTGGTAGGTTTCGAACTCGCCTTGTCATGCATGAGAAGCGGGCGTCTTAAACCTCCGGGCCACCACGACACACTCTGTTGTCATCATCTAGCAAATAATGATTCCAAGATATATTTTTTAATACATCACCAATAAGGAAAAGTATGGTTTTTTGACACTCAAGGGTCAAAATCACAAAGCATTTCACAGCGTTCAGTGTAACATAATAATGTCTATAAAGCTAAAGTGATTTTTATAAAGTCGGTTATGAGGTCGACCGACCAAATCCAGTTTAAGACCCCACAAAAGCTTTTAGCTGTAATTTGGGGAGAGGTCTCGAAAAATCGCAGGTCTAAAAGTTATACACAGTTAGGATATACTGTAGCTATTTATCTTTCATATTGTTTCTCTAGGCTAGGTTAGCTGGCAGGGTAGAATACATTCTTCTATCATACTTTTCCGTAGGTATCATTACTACATAGTATATAACAAAGTCGATATTCGCCGTCTGTCTGTCGCTGTATATGCTTAGATCTGTAGCTACGCAATGGATTTTAATGCGGGTTTTTTAATAGATAGAGTGATTCTTAAACTGTCAAACACCAAGCGGTCACCGGTGACCGCAACCTATTGATATATAATTGTGTCTACAAAACCGGTACTCGACGAGTTAAGGGAGGTTCATATGTATAATACATGCATATTGCACTTGTGCAAAGCCGGAGCGGGTCGCTACTTTGATTATAAGAGACATTAGAGCCATGCTTCGGCACGAATGGACCGGCTCGACCAATGATACCAGCCGAGTAGAAAACCGACGTGAAACAACGCTTGCTTTGTGTTTCGTCGTGTGAGTGAGGTTAACGGAGGCCCAATTAATTACCTTCCCCTCCCCAGTCTCCCCAATAGGGATTATGATAGGGTATGAAAAACTAAATCTAATTAGTCTGTCAGTTAGGTAATGAAAAATTATTAGACACGTAGTTTTTTATTTTGTCGTATAATAAAATGGTACTTAGATATAACGAATCATAGTTTAGAAGTGGGGGCTAAAACGTCATTTCTATGTGTAAAATGTACATAGAAGTGACGTCACGCGACATTTCAAATCAATATATCGTCGAAAGTATTCGTTTCTGGTAAAAAATATAAAAATACGTGTGTAATGTTTTAAAATAATCTACCAGACTGACATTAAATAATAATATAAATATAGTATAATAATATATATATATATAGTATAATAATAAAAATTAGTCATCTACCCTATTCCCGAATCCCCCATAATCCTCAAATTCGCAATTCCCAAAAGGCGGGTAACGCATATGTAACGCCTCTGGTGTTTCTAGTGTCCATAGGCGACGCCGATTGCTTACCATCAGGCGATCCGTCTGCTCGTTTACCGGCATTCCATAAAAACAAAATAAAAGACATTTGACAGAGACCGTGTAGCAACACACTATGCTCAATGTTTTATTTTAAACGGCAATCTGTAATTAACATGACATAACATCATCACGCCTTTTATCCCCGAAGGGGTAGGCAGAGGTGCACATTACGGCACTTAATGCTACTGTACAATGTAACACCCACTTTTCACTATTTATGTTATGAGTCCCATGTAATAGGGGGTGAGCCGTTTACCATATACCGGGCACATTTCCAGACTCCTACTACTGAGTTTTTTACAAACCCAGTAATACTTTGCCCGACCTGGGAATCGAACCCGAGACCCTTTGCCGTTGCACTTGCGACCACTCGTCTAATGAGGCAGTCTGTAATTAACTGTTTCAAATTCTCTAATGTAGTAGAGAAGGCCAAGGTAAGAAGTTGTTGATAAATTAACACACATATGTACATACCTCTATATGTGATAGTGGTGGCTCGGAGGTCTTAGACGCCTGCTTCTCATGCATGAGGGTGCGCGTTCGAAACCTACCAACGGCAAGTAACATTGTGATTTTTTCCGCGTTATATAATACTAGCTACTTCCGCGCGGTTTCACACGCTCTGCTCAGGTCCTATTGGTCGTAGCATGACGTTCGATAAATGCACTACCCAACACAAAACGAATTATTCAAATCAAACTTGCAGTTACGGAGATTAGCGCGTTTAACTCGTCGAGTACCGGTTTTGTAGACACAATTATAGAACAATAGGTTGCGGTCACCGGTGACCGCTTGGTGTTTGACAGTTTAAACAAAACAAACAATAAAACAAAGTCTTCCGCTTTATATAATCTTATCTAAGATTATTTAGACACCACTGACAATCGGTGAAGGAAAACATCGTGAGGAAATCTGGGTTTATAATTTCTAATTATAAGTTTGAAATCGCCAACCCGCATTGAGCAAGCGTGGTGATTAATGCTCAAACCTTCTCCGTGTGAGAAGAGGCTTTGCTCAGCAGTGGACATTTATAAGCTGTTGATGATGATGATGATGATGATGATAATATATGTATATACATTTACAAAATCGACACATTTAAACAAACACGCAAGGTTAGAAGGACAAAATATATTAAATGTATCCATTTGACAGACTCGTTGGCCGAGTGGTCGCAAGTGAGTCGCCGGCGAGTACCCGGTGGCAAGGGGTCTCGGGTTCGATTCCCGAGTTGGGCAAAGTATTACTGGGTTTTAAAAAAATTCCTCAGTAGTAGCACTGAGTCTGGAATTGTGCCCAGTATATGGCAATTGGCTCACCCATTCCATGTAATAGGTTACATGGAACTTATAACATGAATAGTGAAAAGTGGGTGTTACATTGTACAGTGGCATAATGTGCACCTCTGCCTACCCCTTCGGGGATAAAAGGCGTGATGTTTTGTTATGTATCCATTTGCCACATCTAGATCAGATTGTGACTCAGCACAGCAGTCTACTAAGCTAACATAATCGTTGATCACTTAATTAAGTACCATCAGGTAATCCGTCTACTTGTTTTACTCAATAAAAAGCCCGTTACAATAAACAACAACTTTAACAATCAAGTTTATTTTATTTATGACTTGAACATGGACTTCAGATTGGAAAGAACTCGTTAAATAATTAATTTTATTGTTTAAACAACAAATTTAAGTTATAAATGCTTAAACTTTTACGTATTCGTGAGCAAATATAGTGACCAGCAGACCAAGCTACGCCGATCTGTAAATATTCTTATTGGATTTGCGACTTTGCACCAAAAAGATAAAGTTGGTAATCAAATATAGGATAACGGTGTAGGTTGAATTGCTATCATGTTCTCAAGTAAAGTAAGATTTTCTTAAGAGAGGTTTTTATTACTGTTTTTTCTTCAACTGAAAGGGGCGCGTCTTCGATTCTCAGCGTGTAAATTGACTGGTAATTGGTAGGGTGGAGAGATTTAGTGGCTCGTTTTAAAATCTGTGTTTTTTCGTTACTTTTTTGTTTTATTATGATTTTTTTTTAATGGTTTGTGCTGGTCGAAAGGTTGTAATTGTGACGTTAAAAAGGCGAGCAAAAAGTTATAGAACTTTTTAACGTCGTGTTAGTTTTTCGGGTCTTACAAAAATAAATTCTGTACTTAATTAATTATTATGTTTTTCGGCTTACTCACGTAATTATTTGACGAGGGATTCGACTAGTTTCAAGGCATGATGAACGCATCATGACCAGCATTCCGCGACCCGCGACGCGGCGACTGTCGCGCTGCTACCGAAGCAGCATACTGTTCATGAATATGAGCCTCAAGTAATCAAGTAATCAAGTAATTAAGTAATCAAGTATTTATTGCCTCTAGGCCTCTAGCATTGCTTGAAACTAGTCGAGTCCCTCTTCAAGTAATTATGTGAGTAAGCCGAAAAACGTAACTAATTAGATGGGATGTTTATATGACACTAACTACTTCCGCGCGGTTTCACACGCTCTGCTCAGCTCCTATTTGTCGTAGCGTGATGTTTTATAGCCTATAGCCATCCTCGATAAATGTACTAACTAACACAAAAGAATTATTCAAAACAGACTTGTAGTTACGGAGATTAACGCGTTCAAACAAAGAACCAAAAAACAAACTCTTCTGCTTTATATAATAGTACTAGCGACCCCCTCCGGCTTTGCACGGGTGCAATATGCATGTATTATACATATAAACCTTCCTTAAGAATCACTCTATCTGTTTAAAAAACCACATCAAAATCCGTTGCATAGTTTTAAAGATCTAAGCATACATAGGGACAGACAGACGGCGGATAAGTAGTGATAAGATTGTATGTTTGTAAACGCACCCATGACACAGGAGTATCCTAATGTGGGAGCAACGTTTTGTATAAAGAAAACGAATCAACATTTTATTTTGTGCGCGCTCTTTTTGATCAGGCTTCTTGTAACTACATAATGCAAGTTACAAAATTGTCAGCTGACCGTGCTGAACTGAAATAGTTTTTCCTAACTTTCAGCCACTTTAAACTTTCCTGGTATGAACTTTTTTCCGATAATTTTTGCAACTGGTTTTCAACCGGTTTTTCCAAGTTTCCACCTGACTAGGTCCGGTTAAATTAACTTTTCGATTTGGTTCAATGAGATTGTAGTAACTGTTACGCAAGCAACTTAAGCAACTTCCTAGTTTCATTTTTAAGTGGTAACCAGATGGGTATAAGAAGAAAAATAAGAGAAAATTATCTTTTTTTTAGAAACTAATAGTTATTACAATTTTGTGGCCTTCTTTTAGGTAAACAACCTTCTTTTTAGTTATACAAGGTATAGTTTTGAAGCCGTGTCATTTCTCAGGGGCATGTCACAGAAGTCATAAAGGTTCAATGTAAGAGAAAGTTTCGGGCCAATAGTTAAAAATACGGCTATAATAAATCGTTTAAGTTCGACAATATTTCAGAATAAGCGACAGCAATGTTTCTTATTGGAGTTTTATGAAATTAGGAATAATATTATTTACGTGTTTGAGTTTGTGTGTGTTATGCCACGTTATAAAGCTAGTTACAAGACGGCGGCGTGTAGTTTGCATTTCAATAATTTACAAAAAAATTAAATATTTACCTACATCTTTTTTATTGATTCGGACTCAGAATCGATAGCCGAGTTACCTCCTAGAAAATGACGCGGCTGTTAAACTACACCTTGTATAATACCTATGTTATTATTTTACGACTAAAGCCAAGGATACACCGGTGGACAAACGTTGTTACGGCGACGTGTCAAGCGAAGCCTGTCGATTTCACCTGACATACAGATAGCCGGGCAGTTGACGTTCAAGCGTAAAATTTAGATACTTTTTGATGAGGAGTATCACAATCACCTCCATGTATTTTCTACGAATTTGCGTAGTTGTCGAGTTATCATTTTTTTTATGATTTCTTTTGTGATTTTCACCTAACATCAGTTTTCAATTTTTTCTCATTCTGCTGGACGTTTCTGGTTCATTCATTTTGTGATAATTGACTAACCTAGTCTAACCTAGATTGGGTATCTAGGCATTGTAGAATTGACTTCGAATTTGTTTGAAAGTTCAAAATTACGATTTGAGCCAATGCCATCTCGTTTTTTTTGAGGTCCCGATACTATCCTTGACTTATCTCACCCGAGTGAGGCGCGAGGAAGTGTCAGGCTCTTACTGACTAAAAACCACCCTGTTCCTACTCCTACAGTTCGAGCTATATAGTAACAGGACTCCGGCTCGAAGTGCAGGAGTAGAAACGGGGTCATTTTTAGCAATTAAGGCGGGAGGAGCAATTGCATCATTTTCCCTCCTCAAAAAAATACGACTGCGTACTACTACTGAGATATTTTCGAAAAATATATGAATTATTCATACATTAATGGGAACTTAGGTACAGTCAAAGGTCAAAAGTCCACTGCCACCGTGAGTGATGTTCACACGGCAATGCGTAAGTAATTTCATATTAATGTGCATAAAAACGCGTGCGTACGCATAAACACACGCACGCGTACCCACACGGATACAAATATGCGTGTGTGTGTGTATAAGCGCTGCAGCGCAACCGATAGTAGTCTAACGGTGGCAATGGACTTTTGACCTTTGACCGTACATCCCGTACCCCCATAATATACAATTTATTCTCTTTCCCATAGTTCCCATACGAAAAGAATAGCCAGGGTAATTTGACCCTTAATAGCTTACAATAAGTGCGAATGGGTTTTGGGACCTATGGCGGTTGAGTGAGTAAACTTTTACGTTTCAGATTTTTGTATTTTATCTTGCTTTGTTAAGTGGTTGTTAGGTCTACTTTTATTTATGCATGTATTGGTTTGACGCTCAGGTGAAGTAGTATCTGAAATGAATACTCTACTTTTTCTATGAATTGTTTGAAATAAATCTGCTATCAAAACTCTATTTCAAGTTAGTAAAATATTAGCTGTTGCTCGCGAATTCGTTCGCGTAGAATAAGAATTTTAGAACATAACTTCTAAAATAAAAGTAGCCTATGTTACTCCTTAGTATATCAGCTACCTGCCAATAAAAGTCTAGCAAAATCGGTCCAGCCATTCCAGAGATTAGTCAATGCAAACAGACAGATAGACAAACAATTTAATAAATCTTATTTTGGTATATGTATCGTATGTATATTCACATGCATGTAGTAAAAAGTAGTTATTTTAATACTTATTACAAACAGACACTCCAATTTTATTTATCTATATAGATGTGTATAGATTTTAAATTGAAGACCTTTTCACTGAAATAGTATGTCAGTACGCCCGTCTCTCATTGACGTAGTACAGAGCCAATGAAGTACTAAATAACAGGATTCTGGTATAGTATAAGTACATAAAATAATATCACGCCTTTTATCCCCTAAGGGGTAGACAGAGGTGAGCACATTACGGCACTTATTGCCACTGTGTAATATAACACCCACTTTTCATTATTGATGTTATGAGTCCCATGTAATAGGGGGTGAGCCTATTGCCATATACCTGGCACAATTCCAGACTTCGTGACACTACTGAGATTTTTTTTAAAACTCAGTTATACTTTGCTCGACCCGGGAATTGAACCCGAGATCCCTTGCCCGGCAGTCGCACTTGCGACTACTCGGTCAACGAGTATAAGTTACACTTTTGTTTCATCAAACTACATTCCTAAATATATGATCTCCAATTTGAAAAAAATATTTTCAAATCACATCTCTATCTAGTTTCAACTGACTTCAAAAGGAAAATATAGTAATAAATTTTACAAAAAAAAATCTTACACAAAATCGAACCTCAACTGACACAAAGACTTTACGTACCCTTTCTGCCTACCCACTAACGTTAAAGATAATTGTCGCCATGCCAGTAAATATCACCCAGCACTGAGATCACGGTTCCTGATTTATCAACACATTCCGGAAATCGAACTCGTTACATTTGATGTCAGGCTTACAATCCAATTGGGCTTTATTGCCTCCGCTATAGAATTGATATTTGCATAACGTCAGACTTTATCCTTTTGACGGGTAGTATTTTTGAGTACTTCTAGTGAATCTAGAATTTTTACACATTATTATGATATCACATACATACATACGAAGAACCCCGAAGGGGTAGGCAGAGGTGCCATTATCTTTGATACTTAATGCCACTGTACAATGTAACACCCACTTTTCACTATTTATGTTATGAGTCCCATGTAATAGGGGGTGAGCCTATTGCCATATACCGGGCACAATTCCAGTCTCCGTGCTACTACTTTTTTTTACAAACCCAGTAATACTCTATCCGAACCGGGGATCGAACCCGAGACCCCTTGTCCGGCAGTCGCACTTGCGACCATTCGGTCGACGAGGCAGTCAGTAAAAATCTTTATACTTACTTATTCATTTCTGTCAAAATGACAAACATTTGCATGCGATGTTTTTATCTTAGCGAAAAATGTTGGTTGAGCTATTGAATAATATTAAAACTGATGGATAGGTACCATGTTTTACGTAAATTAATGATTTACTTACTTACTTCGAATTAAAAAAAAAATTAAAAATATTTTATACAGAAATCGAAAATAATACATCCGAATTATTTTGAGTTATTATATTATATATTAAAAAAAACAATTTATTGGAGTTTTTTTGCTTGATTTTATAACATCACGCCCTAAATACGCTTATTTAGAATATAGCACAGACCTACGTTTCACTAAAATCCAGGTTCTTAAAGCCAAGGAAACACTTAGGGGGGACAAATCTCCTGTTTCCAGCGAAGTCGGGTGAAGTAGTGCGACGTTGCCGGACTTTGGTCGACATGTCTGGCAACATCAACGTCACTGTGGACATAAGTTGTCACCGTATATGTATGTCAGGCGACATCGACCGGCATCGGTCGACATGTCGCCAATACGTGTCTTGGGACATTAATCCTTAGCTTAATTGTTCAAAAAAGCCTATAAAATTTTGCTCAACCCACGAATTGCACCCAAAATCCCTTGCTCATCACTTTTCTTTCCGACCACTCGACTAATGAGACAGAATATACATTTTAGAGATTACAGTTATCTACACAAACGTTCCAGGTGTCGTGCTGTGAGATAACAGGTGTCTGCAAATAATCTTACTCATTAGCCCCCCTACTACAGGCGCCCGGCCCCCTAGCAATTAGTCTGCATCCGCACAAATTACGGATCCTGTTAATTTGTGTGAATTTTGCTGTTGTCGCTATGCGCTTGTAATGGAGGTAAATATTGTTATTTGGTGATTGTAGTGTGTCTGTTTTCAGTAACTATATAGTTTCTGATATCGGCTTTGTCCGTGTTCTCGTGCGGTAAAAATAGCCTATGTGTAATTCAAGACCTTAATCTACCCCAGTTCCAAAGTCAAAGTAGCATTTATTTAAATTCAACCATAATTTGTTATGTTTGAAACGTCAACAAATACTAGTCTGTCAGTTGGTCCAACAGTGAAGCTAGGTGATCGTTCCAAAATATAGATTCGAATAGAGAAGTAGGAGCAAGAAACTAAAACTACTCTTTAAAGTCATTAAAGAAGATGTCACAAATCAAAAATATATCAAAATTCATCCTGATTCACTGAGTCGTTTTGATGTGGGAAGTAACAAGCATAGGTACACATATAATTAATTTTACTCAGTTCAAAATAAGTTAGTTATGTTATCTGTGACTTTCGTCACGTGGTCAAAAGAAAATAGATGGGTAAGTAGGTTTACAACATAACATGACGCTTATTATCCCCGAAGGGGTACGCAGAGGTGCACATTATGCCACTGTATAATGTAACACCCACTTTTCACTATTTATGTTATGAGTCCCATGTAATAGGGGGTGAGCCTATTGACATATACCGGGCACAATTCCAGACTCCGTGCTACTACTGAGATTTTTTTAAAACCCAGTAATACTTTGCCCGACCCGGGAATCGAACCCGAGACCCCTTGCTCGGGAATCGCACTTGCGACCATTCGGCCAACTAGGGTAGGTACTGCCTACTGGTTTACAAATAAAAGTATTTTTCAAAACTAGACTAAATTACATTTAATTCGCAACAATTATAAGCGACAATAAGAAATTCAACCTTCAGGTATCCATTTCGAAGTTACTCTTCATCAACACAGGTTTCATCAGCAGCTCTGATCTTCCCAGTAGGACACTCGTCACCCGTAAAAGCCATTTTCGTCGTTACAGCTACTTTATTACAAGATTTTTCATCAGTACATAATTTATCTTTATCAGTGACTTTATTAACTTCTGTTGAATTTTTCACATCATCAACACCTTTGTTACCATCTTTTGTGTTTACGTCATTCTCCTGTGGAATCGTTTTGTTCTTTAATTCATCTTCTGTCTTTAAAGCAGTTTCATTCGAATTCTTTTGAGCTTCTTCTATTGTTACGTTCGGGCTAGGTACGTCGGGTTTTTTATCGACAGTTTTGTTACCTTCATCTTTACCAATCTCAGCGTCTTTTATAGGTTTGTTTGTTGTTGGTTCAGGGTTTTCTGCTTTCGGAACCTCTTTATCATCTTTAGGATTGATCCTAATAACGTTTCCTAGTGCATCTATAATAATTTTGGTTCCATTTTCAAGAGTTTCTTTCACTTTTACCAAAACTCCTTGATGGTATTCAGTTTTTTCATTTTCAGTTGTTTTAGGCTTTTTGCCTAGAAGATTGGTTAGACTGGATTTTTGTTCGTTTGTCACGAGGTCATCTAATAAACCGCACTTGACACTTATAATTAACACAGAAATAATTAATATTATCTTCATTGCGTTTAATTTGCTTTGTAGGTTAGTGAGACTATTATAGCAGTAATGAGAATAGGGCATCTAATATCATTATTTATGTTATAGTGTTATGGAGTACAGTTGGGTAATTGGAATAGCTGGTGCACTTATTTAGTGCATTAAAGTTTAACTGTTTGTCATGATTCTTTGAAATGGACAAACGAATAAAGATGTCAATTATTATGTTTTCGGCTTACTCACGGAATTATTTGACGAGGAACTCGACTAGTTTCAGTAGCAGCACGACAGTCGCCGCGTCGCAGGTCGCGAAATACTGCTCATGAATATGAACCTCTAGGAAGTTTTGAAACTAGTCGAGTTCCTCGTCAAATAATTACACCAATAAGCCGAAAACATAAAAATTTATTTAGTATGTCTCATGAAAGTTATAATACCTCTATAAGAAAGATGTTTAATAAAACAGGTTTTGATAAGATACAAAGGATGTAAATCGATGTTTAATAAAACAAAGTTTTGTTAAGTTATAAAACATACAAATCAAATTAATTATTATTGTGATTTGGTAGTGTGGTAATATAACATGATAGCCATAAAAAATATTAAATGTCACAGTAACAACAGAGAATTTGGAAACGTACCCAGTGTGTACCATTAGCTTTACACTTTCTATTTAAGAAGAAGAACAAATAAGTGTCAATAATTAATATCATAATGTTCATGGTGATGTGCAGTACATGACTGTACAGCACCAAGACTATGGAAATAATAAGTTTAACTCTTAACTCGTCGAGTACCGTCATTGTCATTATAGACACAATTATAGAACAATAGGTTGCGGTCACCGGTGACCGCTTGGTGTTTGACAGTTTAATTGGCATTAATTAATTTATTATTAGAACTTTTCCTAAAAAAATAAAACTACATAATATAAAATACTTGAAACATTTTTATTCTTCATAACCTTTTACAATTTGAAATTGAGAATAAAGTTTAACCTAATTTTCAATGTCTTTAGTTACTTCTTCATGTGTTTGAAACATATTATCCAATATGTTTCAATTCCCTATCCACGTTGTTAAATTTATTCTTTCATCAATATCTAGCAGTTCGCTAGAGTTTGCAGCCATTTCTATTGATACACAGTTTCCATCATCAGCTCTCTCCTTTCCAAAACTGCATTCAGGTATTGTAAAAATATCAAATAAAATATCACCATCGTGAATACTATTCTTCCTGAAACCATCCACACGTTGCTTCCTTTTATTTCTTTCAAATTCATGTCTTTTATTTCTGTAATTTCTTTTGACTGTATCTCTAACAGCTGTATGTTTGTCATATTCGTTATCATTCGCCAGATTTTTTACAAATGCAAGTTCTAGTCCATTTTCTGCTGAATTCTTATTAATATCCATATCCTTATCGCTTTCTATTGCAACACTTTGATTATTAATTGGATCATGGTTTTCTTTCTCTTTGATTTTAAATGACTCTGTAATTTGATTGAGGATAATAAAAACAAATACTACGATTAAAAACGTCTTCATTGTTTAATAAATTACACCAACAACACAGCACAGAAAGATAAAGATAATTAAAAAAATATAAAGCAGAAAGATTGTAATGGCGAAGCTAAAACTGGAAATACAATGGACTTACATACGTTACATACTTTATTATCATATCAACAAGGTTCAGAGTTCAAAACAACAACCCAGAATACATTGGACCTAGAGACAATATTTGATAAAGCAAATATTTTTTAATATTTTATAAGAATTGCGACAGTAATACATACCCGTTCCACCAACCCCTCCTTAATATAAGGAAACACATAAGCTAGAAAAGATGACACTTAACATAATTATTTTCACTAACCTATAAGTGATACCTAACAGTACAAGACGTAGGTTTAGGTGCATGATCGCGCTAAGTGACAATTTAGGGGTGATTGCTGAAAAGGGCCTTCAATTTAATTCAACAGTAATTTTGGACAGTTAGAATCATAATTATAAACATCACAAACTCAATTACATTATATTTGACATTCATGATCACTACGGCACACAATAACATTTACCTCTATAATGGCGTCTATTCACATTTCTTTTAATTATTTCTAGATCTCTTCAACGCAACTTCCATCAGCAGCTCTGTCCTTACCATCAGGACAATAATTAGCAACCAAGGCATTAGTAAAGTTTGTTGGTAAAAAAACTTTACAAACAATTGTTGTATCATCTTGAGTACAATTCGTTCCAAGATTTACACCAGAACTATTAACTGATGCTTTGATGATATTCAAAATATTATTGATTTCATCTAATGCAGCGGGATTAGTTACGTTAACTTCTTCAAGGTCTCTTTTTTCTAGTCTATGTTCTTCTGCTTTATCCATCTGATGGGTTCTCCACAGTCTTGGTACTGCACAGTTGGTAATTGCTATGCACATTACTATAAATAGTGTGGTCTTCATTGTTGATAATTATTTCTTCGTCTTTTTCTTTGATAAATTTTATGTTATCGCCTACTTCTTCTTCTTTGATATTATGTGTTCTTTTATTAGTAGCAGTTTCTTCTAGATTGTTGCTGTCGACCTCTTTCCAATTTTGACGAACCACTTTGTCTTTTATGACTATAGGAATACGATTACTTTTCCGTGATTAATATTACTTGCTTCAAAAAGCTTGATTGATTACTGCACACTTTTTGTCAGTTTCAAGACCAAATTACTGTATTTAAATCTTCGTGAGTATATTTCTGTGAAATTATTAGACTATTATCGTTGTGTAGTTCAAGGTTCATATCAACTGAAGTAGATTTGGGGCATTTGGAATAGAACTGTATTACTGCGTCTGCTGTCTTGTTGGCTAAGTGGTCGCAAGTGCGACTGCTGGGCAAGGGGTCTCGGGTTCGATTCCAGGGTCGGGCAAAGTATTACTAGGTTTTGAAAAAAATTGTGGCCGGTGTATATATATACGGCAATAGGTTCACCTCACCCCCTATTACATGGGACTTATAACAAAAATAGTGAAAAGTGGGTGCTACATTGTACAATGGTATTAAGTGTCGTAACGTGTGCACCTCCCCCTTCGAGGATAAAAGGCGTGAGGTTATGTTATGTCCAAAAAAGGCAGAATATTAAAATATGTTTCAATCAATAAAATTAAATGTAGCTCTAGTACAATTTAGCCCCATTCTCCTTATTGTTTTGAAGACGTTTACTTTAGATAACCTTTCCGATAGTCGAGGCCAGTTCCAAGTATACTTCACATGTTTTTTGGGTTTTCCTTAAAGAGATAACTTAATCCGATCACTTCAGTAATTTCTCGGTAACAATTATATAAATATCTTTCTGGGATTTTGTTTTTGTCTACTGAATTCCTTACTGGGTGTAGTACTTTTTTTGTTTAGGTCAAAGTACTGTTAAGGATTCTAATAATAAAATTATACGTAATTACGCTCCTTTTGGTTCAAGAGGGCTTATTTTTACTAACTGGTAGTTTTGTTAATCTTGTAATAGAATATGAGTCTCTTATCTTTTCTTTCTTTTAACAAAATGATGTTTATTAAGTAATCGTATTATTTTCTCTTTCATAATATTTTTCGTTGCTTTCGTCCGTGTGTCACTGCTAGGGTGCGAATTGAAGACCAGTGTTGGGTAGTTCGAATTGTGCCCAGCTCATGCTTACTGAGTTGGCAAGCCCTTTTGCCATGGGTATGTTGCTACCTTGTTGTTCTTATTTATTATTTAACTCGTCGAGTACCGTCATTATAGACACAATTATAGAACAATAGGTTGCGGTCACCGGTAACCTCTTGGTGTTTGACAGTTTAAAAAAAGACGTTGCCCCACACTAGGATTATCTCCTGTGTCGTGGGTGCGTTTACAAGTTCACATACATATGACACCAAGACCCGAAACAACAATTTGTGGATCACACAAAGAGTTGTTCCGTGCGGAAATCGTACCCGCGACACGTTGCACGGCAGCCGGATGCCCAGCCACTGTACCAACCGTGCAGTACCAAGTAACCAAACTGAACGGATTTTTATATAATTTGGTATAGGTACAGGCAGGGTATGGGCTGACTTAGCTTACTTTTTATCCCGACTAAATGCTCCCATAAGATAAAACAGGAATCATTTTCTACGCGACCGAAGTCGCGGGCAACAGCTACTTTGGTAAACAATTATAAACTTGTCCTTCATTTTGTTAACACAAGTTACAGATTCTTATGGAGAAAAAAACAAGCAAGTATCTTAATGGTTACTCTTTTGAACTTTAACTGTTAGTCTTTATAAGTTAAACCAAAGTTTAAAACTCGCTGTATTTTTCTTTCTTGAGAGTAAAAACGGTAAACTAATTTACGAGAGACAGTTTAAACCGTGCGTATATATTACATTGCGAGGAGCAAGTTTTGTGTACCGTTGGGGCTATGAAAACTGCGTTTAAATAAATAAGTAGGTTAACTGACTCTAGCTCTCGAGCGATCCGAGGACCCGAGCGTACGGCGTGTAGCGTTCCGCGTTTCAATCAGACCACCACAGATGGGGCCCAATAGGGCTGATGCCGATACGGAGCCGTGGAGGACTTAACGGGTTGCTGGGGCTCCGGCTCATTTGGCACATTTTGACATTCGAAGTGTATTTGTACCACAAAATCTGGTTTGGTCTACAGTGTCTGGTGTCAGTCACTTAAATGGGTTTTAATTATATTTTGTTATGCTTTAATGATTTTTGTTCATTTCTTTTCTCTTTTAAATCTATTAGGTATTAATGTTTTGTTTTTTATTTTGTTTTTATTTTGACTGTATTTTTATTTATATTTTAATGATCCTTGTTTTCGTGTGCTAATGGCCAAATAAATGCATTTTCTTTCTATCTTTCTTTCTTTTCTTTTTTAACGACACGCATGAGAAGAGTGAGGGTGATGACAGATGTAGATAGCAGCGTGATTCGGTATTTGCCAACTAGACAAAATCAATACTCGTTTCGAACTGTCAAAACGACAGTTTTCTATGAATTTTGTTCGAGATTGTGTATTGTGACGTCACGTTTTTTTAGAGTCAAACAACTACTTATTTCTTAAAAATTTGCTTGCTAAATACTAAAATTAAGTTAAATACATAAAATCAATTAATGAAAGCGTGATTATTTTTTTAAATTTTATTGTATTGAATAGTCGAAATAATTTATTTTTGACGAAGGCAAGTACCCATTTCTACCCTGAAATGGCTTGCTATGATCCTGATTCTGAAATTATAAAACTGGAGAAAAGTATAAAAACCTTACGCCTGTCTCCTATAGAGGTAGGCAGAGACTATGGATCGTGCAAAACATGCACTTCTAATTAAAATTATAAGTTTGAAATCTCCATTCTCCAATCACTTTAAACAAGCGTGTTGAATAATACTCAAAACTTCTCCGTGTGAGAAGAGGCCTTTGCTCAGTTGTAAGACAAGGAAAAATAACAGGACGAACATGTAAACTAGATCCGCTGCTCTCCTAGCCCCACACCAGAGCGAGGACGTGAGTAGAAACTATTCAGACGTCGAGTGCATTAAACTTACCCGACTGCGGTGATGTGGTGTTGTGTGTTCACACATGAGCTGTGACGGTTTGTGTATTAACTACCTATTTTACTAGGCCACTGTAGTGGCAGCAAAAATAAAACCAATCCGTTACTCGTTCTATCGATGCATTTTGATAAGTGGTGCTCAACGGTCGTAATACCAACTACTCTACCAAAAGTCGCGGAGAACCTAACGGGTTACCGGGGCTACAGCTCGAAGTGCAGGAGAAGGAACGGGGTGGTTTTTATTCAGTAAGACTCTGACACTCCCTCCCCCTCACCCAGGCGGGAGCAGCCATTCGATGATTTTCCCCCCTTAAAAAAATACTTATACTTATAGTAGGTATTTTGCAGTGAATCAAAGTCCTTTTTTATTGTTTCCCTTTATTTTACACTCAATATTTACCTGTTTATTCTGCGAACCATACAAGTATCAACATACTAACTTAGTTACCGTCGGTGCATCGATGCTGCCAGTCGAACGATGATGCCTTTAACTTAGGCGTCACTTAGCGAGCAATATTATTATAACTTAATCGTTGCTTGAAGTTCATCGTAGTATTTGCTGTTGGCGTTGATCTTAAGCTAAGGACACACGGCACGATTTTCTCCTATACCGGCCGCGGTTGCGCGCCCGCAGTCTTTGTAGAATACAGATATGTATGTTAAAAATTAAGGCACATTTCAGGACGTGTTTTACGCACGCGGCGATTGCGGTTTGCGGCTCCCGCTGCACCGGCGGGCGCGGCCACGATCCCGCAACCGCGGCGGCTAGCATCCGTGCACTCTATCGGTTGGCGGGCAATCGCAATTGGAAGGCTGGTCTGAAAATAAACTGATTGTTTAACCACCCGCCCGTCTTGCGATAATCAACCACAAAGAAAACTACGGCCTCGTGAGTTTTGAAAATAAATTTCTGGGCGCGGTTGAAAATCGCTTCGTGAGTCCATAGAGTTATGGTGTATTATGATAGAGTAGAATATATTTGATGCCACGTATACCTGTTAAATCTGATCCATTTAAATGCAGGAACTCTAGTTTGTGTTTTCTTTAAACATTCTTTAAAACAAACAAAAAAAAAGTAGAAAAGAAAACACCAGGAATCGGGACAGCCGAAGTATCTGGCTGTTTTTGATTAATAACTAGGTAACTAGCCAATAGTAAGTGCATAATTTGAAATGTAGGTTTTTTTTTAAAACGTTGCCCCCTACACTAGGATTTTCTCCTGTGTCGTGGGTGCGTTTACAAACGTACAAGTTCACATACACATGACACTCAGACCCGGAACAACAATTTGTGGATCACACAATGAGTTGTTCCGTGCGGGAATCGAACCTGCGACACGTTGCGCGGAAGACGGTTGACCAGCCAACGCGCCAACGTATACTCAACAGTCAGTCATAATAGGCAAGGTAATTACCATAACTATGATTCCTTGTCATTATCAATCAATTAAATTATCAAAAGAAATAAATACAAAATTGAAGACAGAAAGTATGTAAATGGAGTCTGAAATTCAATCAATTACTTACAGCAAATATTGGAACAAGGGCGATATTTATTTCAATATCCGATAATTTTGATATTCAAGTGTTTTTCTAATATGGCGATGGTTGCCATGGACACCTGGTCTTGAAGCTTGAGATTAAAAATGTAGGTTTGTATATTTTATCAGTATCAAAATTGGAATAAGTGCTTATTACCATGTCACAAGGCGGATCGATGATTTTGAACTTATTATATTGAAATTGAAAGTTTTAAACTGACTTAACAAAAGGAGTATGTGTATTTGTGTGCAATAGTCTAGCGATTGACTGGACCGACCTAAATGTGGTTTTCAGAAGTGTTCGTTACACTTTTTTTTAAGGTGTGAAAATCATCGAATTACTTCTCCCGCCTGTGTGAGGCGGGAGGGAGTGTCAGACTCTTACTGACTAAAAACCACCCCGTTCCTACTCCTGCACTTCGAGCCGGAGCCCCGGTTACCCGTTAAGTTCTCCGCGGCTCCGAATCAGCGTCAGCCCTATTGGGCCCCATCCGTAGTGGACTGATGGTTCTTTGAGGCGCGCGCGGAACGCGACGCGCCGCCGTACGCTCGGGTCTGGTTCTGGTCGGACGGCAAACCACCCATGCTCTCGACTGGCCGGAGATTGTCCCGCGATCCCCGT